ACACTCCACCTCCCTCTACTCCCCCACTTGTCCAGATTTAGGCTAACATCAGATTTTAACCATAGGCCCTATCAAATAAAAATGTTTTATGCCTATTCTTAAAAATAGACAAAGTGTCTGCCTCACGGACTAAAGCTGGGAGCTGGTTCCACAGGAGAGGAGCCTGATAACTAAAAGATCTGCCTCCCATCCTAATTTTAGATATTCTGGGAACCACCAGTAGACCTGCAGTCTGAGAGCGAAGTGCTCGGTTAGGAACATATGGAACAATCAGATCACTGATGTATGATGGAGCTTGATTATTAAGAGCTTTATATGTGAGAAGAAGGATCTTAAAATCTATTCTGAATTTAACAGGTAGCCAATGTAGGGAAGCTAAGACAGGAGAGATATGGTCTCTCTTTTTAATTCTCATCAGAACTCTAGCTGCAGCATTTTGGACAAGCTGAAGACTTTTAACTACATTCTGTGGACTTCCTGAGAGTAATGGATTACAGTAATCCAGTCTTGATGTAATAAATGCATGAACTAGTTTTTCAGCATCACTCCTGGAAAGGATGCTTCTAATCTTAGCAATATTCCGAAGGTGGAAGAAGGAAATCCTACAAACCTGTTTAACCTGGGATTTGAATGCCATGTCCTGGTCAAAGATAACACCAAGGTTCCTTACTTTGTTCTCAGAGATTAATGTAATGCCATTCAGGTCAGGCGATTGGCTAAGCAATTTCCTTTTCTGGATTTCTGGTCCAAAGATGAGAACTTCCGTCTTGTCTTGATTTAAAAGCAAAAAGCTTAGAATCATCCAATGTTTTATGTCCTCAAGACAAGCCTGTAATCTACCCAACCGATTAGGTTCATCAGGGTTAATGGATAAATATAACTGAGTATTGTCAGCATAACAGTGAAAGTTTATCCCATGCTGTCTAATGATTTTACCAATTGGGAGCATATATATATAGTAAAAAGAATTGGTCCAAGCACTGAACCCTGTGGTACTCCACAAGTAACCCTGGAGTATGAAGAAGATTTGTCATGTACATTTACAAAATGAAATCTGTCAGACAGGTAGGATTTAAACCAGCCTAACGCTGTTCCTTTGATCCCTACAACATGTTCAAGTCTTTCTAAAAGAACATTGTGATCAACTGTGTCAAAGGCAGCACTGAGATCTAACAAGACTAGAACAGACACAAGATTCTTATCTGAGGCCATGAGAATATCATTTGTAACTCTCACTAATGCAGTTTCAGTGCTGTGATACTCTCTAAATCCATACTGAAATTCCTCAAACAGAGCATTAGTGTTTAAATGCTCACATACTTGGATGGCCACTATTTTCTCCAGGACTTTGGATAAAAATGGAAGGTTAGATATTGGTCTATAATTCATTGGGTCATCTGGATCCAGAGAAGGCTTCTTAAGTGAAGGTTTGATTACAGCAACGTTAACATCCTGTGGTACGTAGAGATTTTTCTATTATTGCACTAATCAGATCCTCTTCTGGAGTTTAGGCAAGCTGCCATTTTAGAATCTGAGGCCAAAAACTTTGTGATGATTAACATTCATGTCACTCTCCAAAGTTTTGGCCACAGCTGTAGTGAAGCCTCGCCGACGCTGGTCTGGATACTGGTGCTCAGATTTTCTTAGCTGAAATCCTCTTCAGCTGAAATGGCTTCCGTCTGGAGTTCTGATCAGCTGCTGTAGTGTGTCACCTGGTGGTTTTCTAAGGTCATACATAACCACTTCAAAGAACCGTTGGCTTCCCATCCTGCATAAGTGAAACACAGAGGAACCTTGCACCACCTTTTGTCTCAGCAGCAGAAGCTGGTGGAGACCCTTTTAAAGTTGTGTTTGAGCAGGCTGTCAGCTGGGTGGCTGTAAGGAGACCTGCTCCTCCATAATCTCATCTGTTGGTGTTAAAGAATGTGCTAATTACAACCATTTTACAGGAGCAGGTGACATCTTTTGATGTAATATTACCCTCCAATCCTATTAGCCTAACGCACGTCAACCCCACTCAGCGCTGACGGTAACCTGAAACAGAGACTGCTGCTCTCAGTCAGCCAGAGCTCTTTCTTTCCAGATCAAGTCAGTAACTTGTTTTTGTTTGTACACCTCCACACCTTTTAGGTCACATGCACAAAAGAACATTCACAGCTGAGGTTTATCATCTGAACAGAATGGATTCACCCTAACCTGTTGGAAATAATGTACACTCATCAAGCTGAGGCTTTCACAAACGTGTGACAAGAACATGACCAGCAGAGGTGCGGACTCGAGTCACATGACTTGGACTTGAGTCAGACTTGAGTCATTATTTTAATGACTTCTGACTTGATGAAATCTATAAAGACTTGACTTGGACTTGGACTTGAACACCAATGACTTGCGACTTGAATCAACTTGCATCTGTTGGCTTGATGATGACTTGAACATATTTGATATTTTAGCACAAAGTGACTCGACATGGACTAAAACCATGAATCATTCTTGGTTCTGGGTCTGATCTTGTTCTGCTGAATGCAGCAGCGCTTTGTTCCAGCTCCTGCTGGTTGAGTCAATAAATGAAGCTTTAAGAAGTTTTATTTCTGGTATTTATTTATTATTATTGTCATTAAATTGAAGTTGGACAGATGACTTTATTATGACTTGATAATTCAAAGTTAAGGACTTGGACTTGACTTGGACTCCCACATCATTGACTTTGGACTCGACTTGGGCTTGGTTTGATTTGGACTTAAGACTTGACTGGAAAGACTTGTGACTTACTTGTGTCTTGCAAAGCAGTGACTTGGTCACACCTCTGATGACGAGTGACATCAGAAGCATTCGGCCGAACAGCTGATCACGTCATTCGACTGAAGATGACCTCCTCCTCGACAATCCGTCTGACATGACAAGGAGGCTTCCGCACACGTCTGAACTACAGAGAACCCACATGATGCTTTTCACATGTACTCCCTCGTGGGATCATGTGACCATGTGGGATTACATGCAAAAAAGTATTAAAACGATTTCAAAAATGATTCAAAGTATGTTTAAAATGAGAGGAAAATATAGAAATTGTGATTAAAAAATAATAATAATGTAAGGAAAGGAAAGGGAGAGAGAAAATGAATAGAAAAGAGGGAAACCATTGGATCCCGGGAGAAGTGGAAAAGGTAGAAAGATCTGAATAAGGAGAGGGTGGCGTTGAAGGTCCTACCAAAGCATGAACAAGTGAGTATTCAGCTGCTTTTTAAAGGAGACCACTGAGTCCACTGATCTCAGGCTCAGGGGGAGAGGTCCAGAGTCTGGGGGCCACAGCAGCAGATGATCTGTCACCTTTGACCTTTAGCCTGGTGCTGCACAACCAGTAGGCTTTGGTCACTGGGCCTCAGGGACCTGTAGGGACAAAGAAGATCAGAGAAGCTCGGTCATCTAGGAGGGGCTCGGAGTAGACCCGCTGCTCCTCCACATCGAGAGGAGCCAGTTGATGTGCCTCAGGCCTAGTCCACACGTAGCCGGGTTTTTTTTAAACGAATATCCGCCCCTCCAAAAACTGGCATCCACACCACCTCGTTTAAAAAATAAAACTCTGTCCACACGTACCCGGATAAATACGTTGTTAAGGACATGCCAGACCTGTAGTTTTCGAAGTTTTCCCACCAACTGGCAGTCCTTCCCGGTCTGACCCAGAACCTGCGTCGGTGTCTTTGCCGAAAAACCTGCCTTGGACGTGAAGAAGCCAGGTGCCGGGCAATAGCCGTTCGTAACCTCGTCCTTCGTCTGTGGTCTTCCGCAAGCAGCAGTAATTCCTCTTGCAAAAACAAACAAGCAAAAAGCGCTTGGACAATTGATAAAGCGAGCGCAGCTCTGAGGGCATCCATGCTGTCGGCTAGTGTAAACACAGGTCGCACACGTGATGTCAGCATTTTTTTGTCGCGGAAAGTGACGTTGCGGACCTTAAAACTCCGGTTTTGTCTGTCCACACGCAGACACCCAAAACGGAGAAAACGCAGATCTTCACTTTGGCCGGAGTTTTTAAAAAGATGCGTTTTCGTGTGGATGACAGGCCAAAACGTAGAAAAATATCTACGTTTTGGCAGATCCCCGGCTACGTGTGGACAGGGCCTCAGACATCTGGTCAGAATGCTCCTGGACCCCTCCCTGCATTTCTGGGCACTTCCAACTGGGAGGAGACCCAAGTCCCAGGTCACGCTGGAGGGACTATGTCTCCCAGCTGGCCAGGGAATGCCTTGGGTTTCCCCGGAGGAGTTGGCCCATGTAGCTGCAGAGAGAGAAGTCTGGGCCTCTCAGCTTGGGCTGCTGCCCCCATGATCCAACTCCAGATAAGCAGCTGAAAATAGATAGATGAACGGACACCTAAATTTTCCCTCTGGGGACAATAAAGGAATTTTCTTTTGTATTTGTTTCTCAACTGAGGATTATTTTACAGAATAAATCCTGCTTTTCATTTAGGAGAAACAGCTGGCTGCTGTCATCCTTTTGTTTCTGCTGGTGGCATTGTTTATATCCTGGTAATGTTCTGTGAATGCTGGACGCTGGAGCACTAAGATCTGTATACCCCCCACTCACCACTGCCCTTTGTCCACCTGCAGACCTCAGTACAATCATGTGATGGATTAACAGATTCATAGTCTTGTGCAGTGCCAAATGGTTTATCTTTTTATGATAACTAATAAAAGCAACAGCAACATACTCTTACTTTTACCTTGGTGTAGATTTAACATTATGTTCTAAAAACTGTCTGCTATTCTATGCATCGATGACTGCATTTTAGATAGCTAAATTGCTTTTATAGAAATCACATTATTATAAATAATAATAATAATAATAATAATAATAATAATAATAGATAATAATAATAGATAATAGATAATATTATAGTATAATAATATTATAATAATTCATAGATTATAAAAAAAGAAGAAAAAAGCTCTATATGCTTTTATTTTGACGGGAAAAGAGATATCCTGTTTCACGCAAGCGAACTGTACGTTAAACGTCATCGCGTTGTTGTGCGCGCGGGACCTTTGAGAGAAGCGAGATAAAAACAAGAAGAAGAAAGAAGCAGGTAAAACGTTAGCTAGTACGGCATTATCGAGCAGGTACGTTAGTAAAAGGCTGTCTAGTATCATGTGTACGAGCTTACGAGACCGCAGCGTGAGTTTTAATCAGACTTATCTCTGGTCTGAGCAGGTTTGTCAGCAGTTTACAGACATTAACGCCACTTCAGATGCAGCGACAGTGCTAATGCTAAGCTAGCTGGCTGCCTGCGTAAAACTGCCAGGAAACCTCTTTTCAGGAGGTGGACATCTGTAACTGAAGATGATGGCAGTTTTATATTTTAGCTTTGATTTCAATCACAATCTTTGAACGTTGGCTCTGTGTTCTTGTGTTTTACAGCGTTGTTAAAACACTCTGAGCTCCACCACACAGAGTTGTGCTCTGTTTCACCGTCTGCGTCCCTCCTGTCTGCCTGATCCAGCTGCCATGGCGATGAGGAGCGAAACAGCAGTGGAGGCAGAGGTGGAGGAGGAGGAGAACTTCGGCCCACAGCCTCTGAGCAGACTGGAGGTTCGTTTCCTGACTTGTTCCCTCTGAGTTATTCTGGTCTTCTTTCACTCGAACTTTGACTTGTTTTATGGATGTTTTACAGGTTTTTCCTATGATTCACGTGAAGTAAACGTAAATGTGAATGCACCAAAGCACATTAAAGGTGAAGCTGTCAGCTTCACTCTAGGACAAGAAGTCTCCTTTGTGTCCAATCTGAATTGTAAATGCAGTCCTACAGGACACGTATCAGACAGTAGTAACCTCTCAGATACCAGCTGCCAGGTGCTACCTACACGAACATGACCCCAGAACCGCTCTCACACACCAGCGAAGAGTTTTGTCTTCTCTTTAAAAGCAGAAGAGGTTCTGTTGACGGTGGTCATTTCTCAGCTGGAACTAAAATCTGCAGCTCACATTAACTTCTTATTCAGGACCCTTCAGTATCGTATTGTGTGTGCTTTTATCTCAGACAAAACGGAGCTGTTTGATGACGGCAGTGATCCACTTTGGTCTTTGTCCTGTTTGGACTAGCTGTTAGCTCATCAATCTGGTCAGGACTAATCTGTTTCTCTAAACCGAGTCGGCTCAAAGAGCCAGGCAGTGATTGGTCAGAACCTTTTACAGAGTCTCCCTACAAAGATCTTAGCTGTATGTTGTCTTGTTTTATCCTCTAAGCTCAAAATGATCATTATTATTATTTTTGGTTTATTCAAAAGCTGAGCGCTGTTTCACCTGAGAGCTTGTCACTATAAGAACCCTGTTATGGTTTTAGTCTATGATCCAGTTCAGCAGCTCCAGTAGTTTCTGAGAGGGGATCACTGATTACCTGCTACTGTGGATGTGGAACAGCGTTTGTGCTCCTTTAGGTCGGTTCGGTCAGTGATGTCTGTACAGGGCTCTGGTTTTCCTGACTCAGTGGAATGATACTAGACTGGTCCTTGTCTTTTCATGCAGCAATGTGGCGTAAGTGCCAGTGACATCAAGAAGCTGGAGGACGCAGGTTTCCACACCATCGAAGCTGTGGCTTATGCACCGAAGAAGGAGCTGCTGAACATCAAGGGCATCAGCGAGGCCAAAGCAGACAAAATCTTAGTAAGGAGCATATTTTTATTCTCTGAGACATTAATATGCTTCTAGGAGAGAAGAGATCCATGGCAGCAACACCACCTATTTAACACTAAACACTAGGGTGAAATTAAATTGGTGAAATTATGGTGATGCAATATGTATCACGATACATTCAGGACATTAGCGATTTTTATTTATTTATTTATTTTTGACTGAATTTATTGTAGGAAAATTCAATAAACAGTCCAAACTGATACATAACATGTTTAACATGAGGTATCTGAACCATAATAGAGATTTACATTTCAATGGTGGATAGGAAACCCATTGCACACTGCTGCCATCTAGCGGTCAGCGTTTGCATCGCACCAAAATAAAAGCAAATACACAAGTTTGCATGTAAATTCTTTCAAAAATTAGACTCACAGCTTTTGAATATGGATGTAATATCACTAGAAAAAATATCAAGCTATATTGCCATATCGATATTTCCTTACATCCCTAGGCTACGTTATAAAACTATATCAGAAGCGTGTTGTTAATTCAATTGAAAAATACTTTATTAATCCCAGAGGGAAAGAGTCTGGACTTTAAAATCTAACAGATGTTACATTGAAAAACCTCTCTGCCCTTCTCACTCACTGACTCTCTGAAGAAAATGTTCTCAACGAGATGAAGAACACAAGCTTGCGATTGGTCAGGACGCCGCTTTCGTCAACAGCATTGTCATTGTGCTCTCAGAACCATAAAGCAAGCTGAAGACGTGTAGCAGCAGACCGAACACGCGTGTGCGTCTCCAACCTGTGGAGATGACGCAGAAGCATAAACGAGTCTCTTGAGAACAACAGGCTTTGTTTTACGATGCACATCCTTGAACCCAGATGCATCACACCAAGCCACACATGACAAACCGTCCCGCAGCGCTGATGAGGGCTCTAGTTTTGTTGCGCCGTTTGTGTCAGCGGACATTGTAGGGTCGGGGAGGGGGGCGGGGCATGACTATATATAAAGTGCTGGGGGAATCCCTGCACCTGATATGTGCAGGTAAACATGGGGGCTCCTGCGCGTGACGTAGAGATGACTGTCTGGAGTTTAGAACCAGAGGCTTCATCTGAAGTGGTCCACCTTAACCCCCTCTGTGATGTCACCAACACGAGGTTATTGAGTAAATGAAAGGGCCTCAGAGCACGGGCATGTGCACATCTCTGTCTGGACCAGCCCGACCAGCAAAGAACATTTTGAGACGTTGGCAGATGACCACACTCAGAACTTTCCAAGTGAGCTCTGACCATGTGGTTTTTACTACTATCACTGTTTTCCAGGAACTGGACTCGCTTTTTGGCAACAAAAAAATGGTTTTATGACCAACAGTAGTTGGCCCTTTTGTTCTTTTCTGTTTCTGAAATGCTTAAGAGATGACCGAAGCACCTGGATCAGGGGGTGTAGGAGCAGGAATGACCTGAAGCCCCGCCCCCACAAATGTAAACAAACCAGCAGTCTTCATCCACCAGACTGGGACATTCTCGCATCTCACTCGTTAGACAAGCACCAGCCCCTCACCCTTATCTGGACACAAAAATGTTGGAACAATGTTTTGGGGGCATCACTGTGGGTCGGAGACCGACACAGAAGTAGCGCCAGGCGGTCTGAAGGTGACACGTGTACCGCCCAAACATCATAAAAGATGCACAGAAAAGGCTGGAGCGACCTGGGACCACGCCCCCTACCAAACAAGTCACCATGCAGCATTTCCCCCAGAAAAGTTGCCAGCCATAGTGCACGTGTGTGTGTGTGCGTGCGTGCGTGTGTGTATGCGTGCGTGCGTGCGTGTACTAACTACAGCGACATCCTCTGATGCATCCATGCAGCTCAGTACCACACCTGTATGATGTCACTAGTTACTAAAGAGCCAATCAGCTGGCAGAGATGCTGGTGAACGTGTAAAACTACGTGACTCAACTTAAGGAACAAAGTAGAATCCAGCTGCTGTTGTTTATTTGTTGTTGTTTATAGAAACTAAATGTATCTGCAGGGCTTCAGGCCCAGGGCGGAGTTTTAGACCTCCGACCGAACCAATCCAGACCTGTTATTAATAGTGTTGTGTATTATTTACACCAGTCAGTAATGTTTACATCCACACCTGTTATTAATAGTGTTGTGTATTATTTACACCAGTCAGTAATGTTTACATCCAGACCTTAGACATGAAAAAAATCAATATTACTTTAAAAATGAAGAGAACAGTCATCTGTGAACACTTTTACTCTTGAGAGGTTGTAGCAACCATTGTTTGTATCTGAGAGAAATTGTGACATCTGGTGCAAAAGAATTTGTTGTTTGTTATAAACAAAAGAGTTGTTGATCAAAAACAGCATCAGACGCAATCTGTCGTGCCAAGTCCACGCACCCTAAGTGCGTGTGGAGGTTCTCATTCAATCCGGGGGTCGATGGTCTCTGGCGGTGGAGTGAACTCTGATATCAGGAACCCGTAGACAGTTCCGATACGACCCGTCCAGTCGGAGATCCTCGAGGTGAAGGCAGGAAGTTGGAATGTGTATTTGTGTCTAAGGTTGATGTTTGCTTGGTTCTTAGAGAGCTGGTTGTCTGGTGTCAGCTGCAGCGTTGCAGAGGCTTTGACTGGAGGTCAAAGGAGTTTGTTTCAACAGAGGCTTCACAGGTGGAAACCTGAATTAATCAGGAGTAGTTCTTGTTTTATTAAACTGCTTTGTTAGGATTTCTGGCCAAGTTTGGCCGATCAGAATTTGACACGTTTCTGAGTATTTACCAACATCCCTCAGAAGCCACGCCCTCCTCAGACACTAAGATGTTTTTAACCTTAATGAGTATCTTATTGTAACGTGTGTGAGTGTAAACAATGATTAATTGTTAAACATGCTGATCTGTGATATAACTGGATCGTTGTAAGAACAATATTCATGTCAGATTCATCGATTAAAGCACAGATTATTCAAACATCTGATTTAAACATCTTGTTCATTCATCACATCTGATTATTTAACTTATTACTATAAAATCATGGAGTCTTCACTTATTCAGAGTGAAGAATGTTGACGTCTGGCGTTCACAGAGAGTGCAGGAACCTTGGGTGAGAACGTTTGTCTTCTGCATGTAAACACGCGCTGAGCAGAACCTTCTGGGTTTGGAGGTCAAACAGGAAGTGGATTTATTTCTGTAGATGAAAGGTTTTTATGTTGTTCTATATGTAGGTGAGAACGGATCCTTTTGGTACGTTACACCAGCCTGTGACCAACAGTCACTGACATCGTGTTCTTGGTTCACTTCGAACCACATCGAAGCAGGTAAGGGGAAGGGTGGCATACAGCGACCAATTACTGACAGGAAACAGTACTGAGCTGAGAAGGTTGTCATGGAAACCGCCCATAAGTGGTGGGTTTACACCGTCAGGTCACCCCCACTTCTGTCTGCAGAGGGTTTTGATGTCTGAGATGGAAGAAGTGTCTTTACTTTAGGTGAACAGCAGATAAAAATGGATCATCTAATTCCCAAAGGAACTTCATGCAGGGAACTAAATGGGGGAACTGTACTGCGGATCAGTTAGTGGCTCTTCAGATGGTCTAGAGTGTTCAACTCTGACCAATTTCTCTTCATTCTGCTTTCATGTGCTGGCAGACAGAAGCAGCCAAACTGGTCCCAATGGGCTTCACCACAGCTACTGAGTTCCACCAGAGGAGAGCAGAGATCATCCAGATCTCCACCGGCTCCAAAGAGCTGGATAAGCTCCTTCAGGGTGGGTTTTGTGTCCTCAGCAGAGCGCGGGGGTCGGGCCAACACTAAACTCTGTTCCTGTGCAGGTGGGATCGAGACTGGCTCCATCACCGAGATGTTCGGAGAGTTCCGGACGGGGAAAACCCAGCTTTGCCACACGCTCGCTGTTACCTGTCAGGTGTGTTCTGCTGAGTCAGCATCAGCTGTTGGAGCTTCACGTCCTGATGTGGTTTGTCTTCTGTCTGCAGCTGCCAATTGATCAAGGAGGTGGAGAAGGTAAAGCCATGTACATCGACACAGAAGGGACCTTCAGACCTGAGCGGCTCCTGGCTGTAGCTGAGAGGTGAGTTCCATTATTTACAACCTGATCTAGTTGGTGGAAGAAGAAGAAGAGATCTTTTCTATAGAGCCTCTCAAGAAAAAATCACGAGGCACTTTACAAACACAAAACATTTAAAATATAAAAATAATTTAGAAAATGATTTAAAATATGTTTCAAATGAGCAAAAAATAGACAGTTGTGATTAAAAAATGTTAAGAAAGAGAGAGAGTGAACAGGAAAGAGGGAAATCAGTGGATCTGAGGAAGGTGGAATAGGTAGAGAGAGCAGAATAAAGAGAGGGTGATGAAGAGGGTCATACACACGCCTGAACAGGTGAGTTTAGAGACCACTGAGTCCACTGATCTCAGGCTCAGGGGGAGAGAGGTCCAGAGTCTGGGGGCCACAGCAGCAGATGATCTGTCACCTTTGACCTTTAGCCTGGTGCTGCACAACCAGTAGGCTTTGGTCACTGGACCTCAGGGACCTGCTGGGGGTGTAGGGACTAAGAAGATCACCAATGTAAGATGGTGCTTGTCCATGTAAGGCCCTATAGACCAGAACCAGGATCTTGAAATGAACCCTGAAGTTGACTGGCAGCCAGTGAAGCTGGAGGAGAAGCGGGGTGATGTGGGTGTGTTTGGAGGACTTGGTCAGAAGCCGAGCACAGGCGTTCTGAACCACCTGTAGACGGTTCAGGGAGGTTCTGCTCAGACACGTGAAAAGAGAGTTACAGTAGTCTAAGCGTGAGGAGATGAAGGTGTGGAGAACTGTCTCAAGTTCAGAGCGGGACAGAATGGGACTCAGCTTAGCAACGTTCCTGAGATGGAAGAAGGAAGAGCCAACAAGAGAACTGACATGAGAATCCAGGGTGAGAGCTGGGTCAAAGGTCACGTCAAGATTCCTGACAGAAGGTTTGGTGTGAGAAGCAAGCTGACCAAGAGAGTCTCTGACTTTGGGAACCAGCTTGTCTGGGGCACAGATGAGGATCTCAGTCTTATCTTCATTCAGCTGAAGAAAGCTCCCACCATCCAGGTTTTGATAGAGTCTAAGCAGGTGTGTAACAGCTGCAGCTTAGACATCTCATGGGGCTTAAAGGAGATGTACAGTTGGATGTCATCTGCATAAAGATGGTAGGAGATTCCTTTGAAGGAGCTCAGGATGTGCTGAAGAGGAAGCAGATAGAGGAGGAAGAGCAGAGGCCCCAGCACAGAACCTTGTGGGACACCATGGGTAAGAGAGGTGGTGGAGGACCTAAACTTGGAGACGGCCACAGAGAAGGAGTGCTCAGAGAGATAAGAGGAGAACCCCTCCAGAGCAGATCCTGATAGGCCTACCCAGTCTCTCAGCCTCTCCAGTAGCAGGTGATGGTCAACAGTGTCAAAGGCTGCAGTCAGGTCCAGCAGGACCAGAACAGAACAGTCCCCTGCATCACTGTGAGTCAGAAGGTCATTAGAGACCCTAAGAAGAGCTGTTTCAGTAGAATGAGCTCTACGAAAACCTGACTGGAAGCTATCATAGATGTTATGTTCATCAAGAGCAGCTGTGAGTTGTTTAGCCACAACCTTTTCCAAGATCTTGGAGATGAACGGAAGTTTAGAGATGGGTCTGAAGCTGCTATGGAGCTGCTATGAAGTGTAAATGCATCTTAAGTCTTCTCTCTGTGTTTGTGATCAGGTACGGGCTGGTGGGCAGTGACGTTCTGGACAACGTGGCCTATGCCCGGGCTTTCAACACCGACCATCAGACCCAACTGCTTTATCAGGCTTCAGCCATGATGGCCGAGTCCAGGTCGGTCCCAGCATTCAGGCTGCCTCTGGTTACATCATTACAGCTAGCTTAGCATCCGAGAGAAGCCACCCAGACACCAAAGCCCAGTCAGAACTCTGATTAGGTGTTCTGGCTGTTAGAACATCAGATCAGGTTTCCATTAGAGAAGTCCTCCTGATGGGACACCAAAAATCACAGAAACAATGAAAGGAATTTAGTCTCATTCTCCTTTGTAGACCAGCTCAGTTTCTTTTTCACACTTCCTCTTGTTCTCAAGGCTGAAATGGTGTAGAGGTGGGCCGATACGAAGTTTCATGGTTCTGACATGTCAGAGGTCAGGGTCCTTCTCTAGATGCTCAAGTCACAAACAGCTAGTAGCTCTAGCCATCCTCAGATCGCCGGTGATGGTGGCGTCACTTCCTTTTATCGGCGGGCAACAGAGGATGGTGTTGCCCTCTACTGCCCATGTCCTCCATGCTGATGACACAGTCCCATTCGTGGTCCAGTGTGTATGTCCCATCGTCTCTGTTCACGGTCCTGTCCGCACGCCTCCTCATCTTATCCTAACCCTAGCTGTTCTTTGTAAGAAAAACATGAAACGTTATTAAAACCACTGCAGGAAAAAGGGTAAAATAACTGAAAAATGATGTATACAGAATGGATTCCAACAGCAAACATAATGCCAAGAATTTATGGAACCCCAAAAATACATAAACAGAATACTCCACTAAGACCCATAGTTGACAGCATGGGGACACCGACATGGCAAACGAGATGAGCAAGGTCATCAGCTCACTATTGGGTAACACAGATCAACACTGTACAAATGGCACATAATTAGCAAAATAACTGAAAAAGTAAGCTTTATAGAAGACGACACACTGATGATGTCACATCCCTGTTCACAACAACACCAACCCATACAGTTAACAGGATCAGGCACGACAAAGCTTTACATGAATGGACAAACCTCACAGCAGACCACATAGCACGACTGATAGACCTGGTAGCAAACTCCACTTCACTTACAACAGAACTACATACACACTACTGGAAGGCTTTGCCATGGGAATCCCACCATCAGCCACCCTTTGCAAGTTTTTTATGGAAGATCTGGAACAGAAAGCCACTGCAACAAAACGCCGAAGGACAAGATACCAACAGATAAATGTGAGTCGTATACGAAATACCATGCAAACTGCAATAAAACATGCATGGGGGACCCAAACACCAACTCTACACACACAATAGAACATCAAAACAAGTCACAAACACACCAGAGCAGCAAAACAAGAAGCAGAAAGCACAATAAAGAGATCAGCTGTAACAGACCACTGCTCTAGGTAAAACCATATCAAGGACTGGGACGATACACGGATTATAAACACAGAACAACAAAAATATCAAGATGGATCAAACAAGCAATAGAGATGAGGAGGCGTGCGGACAGGACCATGAACAGAGACGGTGGGACATACACACTGGATCACGAATGGGACTGTGTCATCAGCAAGGACGCGGGCAGTAGAGGGCAACACCATCCTCTGTTGCCCGCAGATAAAAGGAAATGACGCCACCATCACCGGCGATCTGAGGATGGCTAGAGCTACTAGCTGAAACATGTCAGGTAAACAAATAACTTTTACTAAACCGTGTAAGAAAAGAACAAAAAAAAGGATCATAAAACAGGTGAATGAAATAATGGGCTCCTGTAGCAGCTCTCGTCTGATTTCATAGCAGGGCTTTGTGTCCATGTGGCTTACGGATGAAGTAGAAGATAATATGAACGAGTTGGTATCTGCATGTGTTTAAATAGCATCTGAATGTTAAATATGACCGCTCAGCCGGAGTCGGGTCGCGGGGCAGCAGCCTAGGTCGACAGGCCCAGACTTCCCTCTCCCTGGCCACTTGGGCCAGCTCCTCCGGGGGGCGTCATTTGGAATTCTAGGATGTCCAAGGAAGATCCCGCCTTTCTTGTCTCTGATTGGCTAGAAAGGCTCTACTACGATTGGCTGTATCATTTAACAGCAAACTGGCTGTCCTCGCTAAGTGCTGACTGTCCTTCTGCCACCAGCAGAAAGCTGTTTTGGGGAGTTTAGTAAAGAAAATGTGAACTTAGCGCTAGAATAAACATTCTGTCCTGGTTAGCAAAATATTTTATGTTTTATGTTTCATAAAAAAACAGAAAAACATAAAATGTGAATTTTAAATCTTGTTGCATTTATCTAACTGTTGGACTTTCTTTATATATCTTGGCTCTGAAGCGTTAGAGCACACAGGATAAACATGTGTGCCGTACCTGGGTATGACATTTAATAAAACTGCCCTATTCTGCCCAGCTGTGTGCATCAGGTCTGTTGCTTCTCTAGAATAATGAAAAATGGGTCTAAATCATAATCAGCTTTAGCTTAAATTTTGATTAAATGATACACATTTAATCTGATGATGAGAGACGTGCTCCAGCTTGTAAACAGCCTATTAAAGCAGGATAGCCTAATAATGAAGTGATGAGATAACACCAATAGAGCCAACAGATATAGTCAGTCTACAGGGAGATAAAATGCTACAAGAATTATTACAAGTTCACATTTGATGTTTTTCTGGCTTTTTTGAAAGAAACTGAACCTGATTTGTTGCTAAACAGGAAAGGATGTTTATTATTATTATTTATTAAAGATCATGTTGCCTCTGTTGCTCGTTCATGCCGCTTTGTTCATTGAGCTCCACTGGCTACCGCTAGCAGCACGCATCAAATTCAAATAGCTAACACTAGCATACAAAGTCCGAGATGGAACGGCTCCCATCTACCTGAATCCTCTTGTAAAGGCTTACGTCTCGGCCCGGCCGCTCCGGTCACCACAGGATGGTCGGCTAGCAGTGCCTACACCACGCTCAGGACAATCCAGACTCTTCTCTTGCATCGTTCCACAAATGTGGAATGACCTTCCAAGCTCTACCAGAACTGCGGCTTCCTTTTCTATTTTCAGGAAACTCAATTTCCCTCTGGGATTAATAAAGTATTTTTGAATTGAATTGAATTGAAGACCCTGCTCTTCAGAGAGCATCTTCTAAACTAGCACCCTCCCTGCACCCGTCCCCCCTCTCTACTGTCCACTCCTTGTTCCCTCCTCTCCATGACTGATGTCAAGTTGTTGTTGTTGTTGTTGGCCTCAAGGGCAACATGCCGATTATCACTTGTAAGTCGCTTTGGACAAAAGCGTCTGCTAAATACATAAACATGAACATATTATAGCGATGAGTTCACATTTTCTTCAAAAAACTTCTCAAGATCTGGCTGTAAACATAAAAACTTGCAGCGAGGGAAAACGGTTTCCTCTTACACGAAATAGCCAATCGTAGTAGAGCCCTTCCAGCCAATCAGAGGCGAGAAAGGTAGGACCTTCCTTGGACATTCTAGAATGCCAAATGACGCTTCCGGGGGAATCCCGAGGTGTTCCCTGGCCAGGTGAGAGACATAGTCCCTCCAAGGTGTTCTGGGTTTCCCTTTAGGCCTTCTCCCGGTTGGATGTGCCCAGAAAACCTCACCAGGGAGGCGTCCTGACCAGATGCCTGAACCACCTCAACTGGCTCCTCTCGATGTGGAGGAGCATGGATCTACTCTGTGCCCCTCCCGGATGACTGAGCTTCTCACCCTATCTCTAAGGGAGAGCCCAGCCATCCTGCGGATAAAACTCATTTCGGCCGCTTGTATCCGTGATCTCGTTCTTTCGGTCACTACCCAAAGCTCATGACCATAGGTGATGGTAGGAACGTAGATCCACCGGTAAATCGAGAGCTTCGCCTTCTGACTCAGCTCTCTCTTCACCACGACAGACCGGTACAACGCCCGCATCACTGCAGACGCAGCACCAATCCACCTATCGAACGAGCCCGACGTACTACCGGCAATGTGGACCAAGCTCTGACACCGGTCATTTAGGGCCCTAACTGCCTGTATCAGAGGGCCTGGTACTCAATACCCCTGGAGTACGCCCCACAGGGCCCCCAAGGGGGTCAAATTCCTTCTCCAAATCCACAAAACACATGTAGGGAAAACTCCTACGCACCCTCCAGGGCCCTCCTAGGGGTATCGAGCTGGTCCAGTGTTCCACGGCCAGGACGAAAACCACATTGCTCCTCCTGAATCTGAGGTTGGACAATCCGACGGACCCTCCTCTCCAGAACCCTGAATAGACCTTACCAGGAAGGCTCAGGAGTGTGATCCCCCTGTAGTTAGAACACACCCTGCGGTCCCCCTTTTTAAATAAGGGGACCACCACCCCGGTCTGCCAGTCCAGTGGGACTGCCCCCGATGTCGACGCGATGTTGCAGAGCCGCGTCAGCCAACACAAATAACAATAACATAATCTAGCTGTGCCAGATTTATTTTCTGTTCATTGTTTACCCAATAAACGTTTTCAAAGAATGTTTTTCAACACAAACTGGATTTGATTTTAGGTTTTCTCTATTAAAGACGGTATTCAGTGATTTTACACACAAGTTATGCACTTTCTAAATAAGATTAACCTCTCTTGTATATTTTTGCACGTTTATTACTTGCTTTTTCGGGGGGGGGGGGGTGATTAATTGCGATTTAGTTTTTTTAGATTTTCAATTAATTAGGTAATTTATTTTAATTGATTCCTGGCCTTAGTTTTTTCTAAATATTTATGTAAAGATCGTAACTAAAGTCAACAGCGGCACACTTCCTGTATGCATGTGTGTTGGGCGTCGCTTGATGCTCTTATTTTGAAGGGCTTTAAGTGCAGCTGGTGTCTTGGCCTGTAACCAGTTACCTCCTGTGGTGTGTGTGTGTCAGGTATGCTTTGCTGATCGTGGACAGCGCCACGGCTCTGTACAGAACCGACTATTCGGGCAGAGGGGAGCTGTCGGCGAGGCAGGGACACCTGGGACGGTTTCTGCGTATGCTGCTCCGGCTGGCGGACGAGGTAGGCTGGACGCGCTGATGTCTGTGGCTACAAGTTCAGGAAATAGTTATTCTATCTATGGAATTACCTTCTGATGGTGAAATCCAGACTTGTTTATTTTCCTGCCTGATGACTGTGTTTGTGCATGCGCTTGTTTGTTTGTTTTCTGGATGAATGGGAGATGGGTACTTGTTGATGGGACCCATTTGGGCTCCTGAAGTCTCATCTTTGTGTTTCTGCAGTTTGGCGTTGCAGTGGTCATAACCAACCAGGTGGTGGCGCAGGTTGATGGGGCAGCCATGTTTTCTGCAGATCCCAAGAAACCAATTGGAGGCAACATTCTGGCTCATGCCTCCACCACTCGGTGGGAACACCTGGCCTTGGCCCTGAAACAGAACCTTTGTGCCTCTTTGCTGTTGTGTTGCCGTAGGTGTTCCTAACACTTTGTGTCTCACCTATGCAGCCTGTACCTGAGGAAGGGTCGAGGAGAGACCAGGATCTGCAAGATCTACGACTCCCCTTGCCTGCCGGAGGCTGAAGCCATGTTTGCCATTAATGCCGACGGCGTTGGCGATGCCAAGGATTGATCCGGCTGAGCAGCAGGAAGTCGTGGCTTGGACTGTTTAGCTGTGAGGCCACTGAAGACCAGATGTTTCCTGCAGACCAGTACCTGGATCGTACTGGTCACACCAGTGTCTTATGTTTGTTGTGAACTTCTGAGAGTTGTACTGAAACACCAGGATGGGATGAAGTCATGAATGTTTCTGTTGTAGAAGGTATGAGAGGGGTGAGGGGTGGGGTCTGAAAAAGCAACCGCTCGTTTCTAATGTCCTGATTTCTGTATAAATACTAGATTAAATGTGTTTTACGATGACAACATTTAGTTTTCTTACAGAAGCACTAGAGAAGCCCACTGATGGTTCATCTGAACTTTAATCATCAGATCAGAGAGCATGTTTGTTAACGGTCACCGGTGGAAAAATCTAAACGTTCAATGGACGATGAAAAAAGATGCATGACCTCCAACATTAACCGGAACCTTCCCCAGTCAGAGGTTCCTGCAGGCCTCACCTCAAACCCAATACGGCCACCGCATGCATGTTGGGTTGTGATGGCCGTAGAATGGACCGCTTACTTTCATTTGTTTGTTCGTATATCAGTGACTTGATCTCTCCAGCTCAGTGGCCTAGTGGTAGAGTGTCCGCCCTCAGACTGGGAGATCAGGGTTCGATTCCTGGTCGGGTCATACCAAAGACTTTGAGAAAATGGGACCCAATGCCTCCCTGCTTGACACTCAGCATTAAGGGGGTTGGATTCGGGGGTTAAACCACCAAATGGTTCCCGAGCGCGGCTGTGTCTGCAGCTCACCGCTCCCCCAGGGGATGGGTCAAATGCGGAGAACAAATTTTGCACACACACCTGTGACAATTAATGGGACTTTAATTTTAACTCTCTCTCTCTTTCTCTCTATATATATGTGTGTGTATATATATATATACACATATATGTGTGTGTATGTATGTATATGTGTATGTATATATACATACACACACATATATGTATATATATGTGTGTGTATGTATATATGTGTATGTATATATACATACACACACATATATGTGTATATATATGTGTGTGTATGTATATATATATATACACACATATGTGTGTGTATATATATATATACATACACACACACATATATATGTATATATAAATATACACACACATATGTGTGTATTTATATATATATGTGTGTATATATACATACACATACACATATATGTGTGTGTTTATATATATGTGTGTGTATGTATATATACATACACATATATATGTATATATATATATATACACACATATGTGTATATATATATATATATATACATACACATATATGTATATATATATATATACACACACATGTGTATATATATATATATATATATACACACACACATATATGTGTATATATATACATACACACATATATATATATATACACATATGTGTGTGTATATATATATATATATATATACACATGTGTGTGTGTATGTATATATATATATATATATACACACACACATATATGTGTATATATATACATACACACATATATATATATATACACATATGTGTGTGTATATATATATATATATATATACACATGTGTGTATAATATATATATATTATACTGGACTGTGACATGTGACAGACTTGCTCCGAGCTCCCACAGACATTACACTTTTCACCTCGTGCACCCCCAGGGGTGCGCGCACCACACTAAGGGAATCCCTGCCGTAGATGGTTTCTACTCGTCACTTGAACGTAGAAACACACTTGAGAACAGCAGGAAATGGTCTATATTTGAAAACCTGATAACCACCCGATGATGCAGGGCTGAGGCTCTGGGCCTTCACACAGATGACTGACTCACCAGACAAGTGAGAAAGTAAACACACCAAATCAAAAACAGCCAGCTCTTTAGCACATGTCATAAATAAATATTCATCCTCAGGCTCCAGCAGGTTTCACACAGATGAGAACATCTGGCGAAGGTCAGGACGTTCTCCACAGCAGCTGCTGAGACGGTCGCTTCACACCTGTCTGTCGGTTAAGAGTCGAAGTTCAGCCTCCAGTTTTCTGGCCTCGTCCCCCTGAGAGAGACGACAAAGCTGTGACAGAAGTCATGAGACGTGGGTCAGAGTGGCACGAAGCCCTTACAGGGTGACCGCTGGTGGGCATCTCCAGGGCCAGCCTGGTCCAGCTGCTGGCCTCACTGGTGTTCCCCAGCTGCTTGTGACACTGCTCCAGACAACAGAACCATCAGACATCTCTTCACTGGTCTCATCACCACTCAGACTGAATGAATGTCCGTTACCTTGGCAACGTATAGCCTGACGGTCCTGGAGAAGCCTGGACTGAGCGCCTCCGCCTGCAGGTTGACACAAACACACACCAAGGCCTTGTAAGTAAACGGACCTGAAGGTGCAGCACCATCAGTGTCTGATCATAACTCAACCCGTCCCTTCAAACGAGCAGAGGCTCAGGCTCACACAGGGTAGAAACGGTGACACCTGGTGGTCGGGAGGAAGACTGTTCCCGAGACACAGAGTGAGGGGTTCTGGTGTTGCAACCTGTCTGGTACCGATATCCACGTCACGTTCAAAGTCTCTTACATCCCCTCTAGACTCCATCCCGAGTTTCAGCACCTCTAGAGGACTCAATGCTGATTGGCTGGTTAGATATTTATGTTAAGCAGCTATTTGACAGGTGGCCTTTATTTTTGTCTAACTTGTCAACGTTGCCCCCCCACCCTGACCCGGTCAGCATCTCCGGCTCCTCCCGATGACCTAAACCTGCTCTGAAGTAGCAGCAGCCTGCGGGACTCAGACCTTCAGGAAGTTTTCCAGAGCATCGTGCAGGGTGCAGGTGGGGGGGCTCCTGTAGAGGGCCGCAGCTGCCTTCCTCTCCAGCCAGTCCCAGGAGGACACCTGCAGCAGCAACAGCAGCTGTTTACCTGGACATGTCCACGTGAGGACAGCAGACAGAGCAGCAGCTGTTACCTCGTAGCACCATCGGCCCAGCAGATAGTAACACATGGGATCGTCGTCTCTGAGGGCCAGGGCCTGGTCCAGATGCTCCTACACGTCACAACAATAACACTTCAGTGACAGAGCCACGCAGACCCATTTCATTGGTTCTGAATCTGGAACCAGTGCCGGTGATGGCTACAGGATCCGTGATGAGGCCTGGTGTGCTTTACCTTCAGGAGGTGACTGCTCTTCAGCTTGCTGTGCATGCTCCCGTGCTCCAAGGCCAGAGCAGTCAGCACGGCAAACCTGCAGAACCACACAAGAGATCCATGGAGTGTTCTGATCCCAGTCCAGTCACAACTCACAGATGTTCTGTTCACCACCTTACCATTTGTGACAGTCAGCATTCAGGCCGTTCTTCTGCAGGGCCTCCTCTGCCTCCTCTCGACCTGCACACAGGAGCTCACAGGTGAACAGGTACCAGAGTCCTCTCACCTGAAGGTCCGTCTCCAGATGCTGATTCTACCAGACAGAGCCGGGTCTCATCGGGTTTTAGTTCAACTTTCCTGAGTTACACACACACACTTTTTCCAAGCTTCTTTGATGTATGTGTGTGTGTGTGTGTGTGTGTGTGTGTGTGTGTGTGTGTGTGTGTGTGTGTGTGTGTGTGTGTGTGTGTGTGTGTGTGTGTGTGTGTGTGTGTGTGTGAGTGTGTGTGTGTATGTATGTATGTATGTGTGTGTATGTATGTATGTATGTATGTATGTGTGTGAGTGTGTGTGTGTGTGTGTGTATGTATGTGTGTGTGTGTGTGTGTGTGTATGTGTGTGTGTGCATGTGTGTGTGTGTGCGTGTGTGCATGTGTGTGTGTGTGCATGTGTGTGTGTGTGTGCGTGTGTGTGTGTGCATGTGTGTGTGTGTGTGTGTGCATGTGTGTGTGTGTGTGTGCATGTGTGTGTGTGTGTGTGTGTGCATGTGTGTGTGTGTGTGTGTGTGTGTGTGTGTGCATGTGTGTGTGTGTGTGTGTGCATGTGTGTGTGTATGTATGTATGTGTGTGTGCATGTGTGTGTGCATGTGTGTGTGTGTGTGTGTGTGTGTGTGTGTGTGCATGTGTGTGTGTATGTGTGTGTGTGTGTGCATGTGTGTGTGTGTGTACATGTGTGTGTGTATGTATGTATGTGTGTGTGCATGTGTGTGTGTGTGTGCATGTGTGTGTGTATGTATGTATGTGTGTGTGCATGTGTGTGTGTATGTGTGTGTGTGTGTGCATGTGTGTGTGTGTGTGTGTGTGTGTGTGTGGTACCTTTCTGAGCGTAGCGGCTCTTCACCTGCTCGTCCTCAGTACACTCGTACATGTCAGCGTACGCTCGAGCGAGTCTCCACAGGAACTCCTGGTTGTCTTGGTGCTGCAGATCCAGGATCAGAACCACATGATCAGAGTCAGAGAGCTGCTGCAGCTCCTTCTGCTGACCCGGTTGTTTTGTGTCATGATTTCTAACCAGCAGCAGCAGTACGGTGCTGAACCTCAACCTAGTCGGGCTCTGTTAGCCACCAGAACCTCTCACCTCCGCTCTGTTCTCCAGCAGCAGTCGGAAGCCTTCTGCCTTCAGACT